ACGAACAATGGCATAGCTATAAAAAAAAAAGAATGTATTCAAAATTAATATACATACAATAAATCATACAAATAAACATGTCTGAGGCCAAAAATAAATTTAAAACATGATAATTTCAGGCCCAAAATAAATGTGGACATATTTATATCTTGTTTGTTGTCTCAGGACGGGTACATCTTGCTATGAAAAGGGTTAAATTACTCAGGAAATAGATTTTAGTGAAGCAGGCTACTAAATAATTTTGCAGGGGAGCCTTTTTATTGCTAGTTCCTTCTCTGAATAGGGCTTGCTGGAGTCAAGGCTAACCCTATCCCAACCATCACCATAAACCTAATCTCTGAACATAACACTTAACCTGAGATTAAAATACTAACAGATTAACACACCAATTTTCTGAGTTCTAATGTCTTACATCTGGTTATACCAGTAATACTCCATTGAATAATTTGATGGTTTATGAGGGAGGTTACTATATATACAAAAAACAAACTATTGGTAATTGGTTATTCAGTTTTTTTATTGCACACAATATCTAAAATTAGCATATTGCCAGTTTTCTTTTTACATCAAAAGTTAAACCAAAAACAAAATTGCCGCAAAAACGGGATGAAACTGAAATTAATTTTCACAATTTAAAATATAATGGCAGTAGAAATAGAACAGCTGATTAGCAAACAATTGTTTAAAGTTAATTAAATAACGTAACGATGAAGTTAGTTAACTTTTATTTTCAGCTAGGCCTCCTGAAGTATCAAGAGAGTTTATTACAGTTGTAGAACCAGCTATATAGATCAAATTTGACTAACTGAATATTTTAAAATCCAAATGCTTTTTATTCAATGAACATTTTTTGTAACACCCCAACCAACACACATGCTAGAAATAACATAGGATTTGAACAAATGCTTAATGAACAACATAACAATTTTTTTCAAACAGAAAAAAAATTTAAAGTACTTATTCAAATTTTGGCATTGTTTCATAACAGCATTTATAACCAATATCCACCACACAAAATATGTATAGCTATTCTAAATTAAACACAAAGACAAGGACATTATTGCTATGTGGGATATTAAAATTACTTTTGTCAAAACTTTTCAAATATGTTTCTGTGGTATTATTTAAAACAGGTATCTTTAATCATGTCTATAAAAAACCCAGAAAACAATTTTAATACATAGAGATCATCCTTTTATGACATCCATAGCAAATTTTTTACAACACTTTCCTCTCAATGTGAACCGTCAAACGGACAAACTAAATTTAGTGTGGTTGACTCTTTAAAACTTCTACACGTATAAATAGAAGCAGTGTTTGTGTGTATTTAAAAAAAAAATAAAAAATTATAGTTAATTTGAAGCACTTTCAAATTTGATGTTGAAATACCACTGTATTTAAAAAGTTTCATACTAACTTTTATAGCAAAGATAGATACTGTAATTCTGTTTTCTGAAGCACTTTTTAAAAGAAAAATCAACAAGTTTTAAAATCTGAAATCAGATATTTTATAAAAAGAAAATTATTGATATTAAATTTAACATGGACACCAAGATGGAGACTTCACATAACCCATGTTCACCCCCCCCCCCCCCTGCTTGAGTAGGACCACTGGTGTTGTCATAAACAGATGATCTTTATGTTATTTCTAAACTGTTATTTTACTGAGAAATTTTCAAAACCTACAAACAAGAAATTATTTTGTACACTATTATTAATTAATATGGTTAATTAATCTATATTAGGTGAGACGCATTAATGCAATTAAAGACCACAGGGGATAAACCACAGTTGTCAGTTTTCTACTTTTGACAAAAATGAGATTTTGTGTTTGCGATCCCTCATGTCCTATTGTGGCATGATTTTAAAATACTATTTATTAAGGGGGATCGAGGTAGTTTTACGCTTTCATATCGTAATATGTGATAGATATACAGTGGTACTACATGAATATGGCACTAACTCAAAAATTAAAAAAAGAGGGACATCTATGGTTATCACGTGTGGTCTTCAATTGTGTTGTGAGGAAATTGTAAATCATTAGTGTTAGTTAAGTTGGACGGACATGCTTAGCAGAATTATCCTATAATAGTTAGATGATTAAAAGAGTAAATGTTTTTAACAGGCACATGTATACCTAGCAAAAAATGGTTAGTGAGAATAATATATTTACCAGCGGTAAAAATAAAAACATGCAAAGACTAGACGAAAATTTAGCATTTTCATTATTTGAGTAATAATTTTTGTGTTCAGATTAAAGAACATGCATCTACTTGAGCTTTTCATATAAATTAAATCGCAAATAATTTATAATTAAAAATGTGTGTAAAATACATCTGATACATTTCTTGTACAGGCCAAAAAGAGCTATCAATAAATTTTGTAATATAAAATTACCCAGTATGACAAATCACATTTTTCAAGCTATTTAATTTGTGGTTAATTATTTTTATAAAACAAGTACCCAAAAAAAAACAAGAATCACGTCAATCACAGACAAAAAATTTTGAGAAAAAAAAACCGCTAATAATTATCACATGAAATAATTACAATTGAAAATTAACCAATACTAATGCAGTAAGGTGAACATATTTAACAAGACGTTCAGGCATCACTAATTATTTCTGGTTGAACTAATTATATTAGTATACATAATGGCCAGTGAAGTAATAAAATTATATTCCCTGTGAGTTTGCTCAAAAATAAAAACAAGATGAAAGGGGGGAAACCCAGCTGAGAATATAATTTACACTTTGACACACAGCAATCACATGGTTCTTAACTAATTAGCTTTGATATAAGGAGTTCTTCTACTGATGATTGTAGAAGCTAGTTTAGAATCCCTGGCATGGTGTAGTATGTGAACTATATGCCAGGTGGCCAACAGTTCAAAGGTTAAATGTCATGTAAAAGGTTTATAACATTTCTAGCTTTGATTACATTACACAGAGAAAGTGGGAGTATACCCATGCCAGAATATACAAATAGAAATAAATAAATATACACAATTTCTAAATAGATTATTAAATGTTAAGCAAATAGTTAGTGAAAACCTTAACCTTAAGTAAAATTAAGAAAACATTATACTGTTAGTAGAATTACAATGGCAAGATAAAACATTCATTGTGCATATTATTAATTAAAGAAAAATCCAAATCAAAGATAATTCAAAATTTTGTTTGAGGAAATGTTTTATAAAACCAATATACTGGTTTTATTTTTAAAACTTTAAAACTACAAGTACTGGCAGGTCTAGGATTAACTTTAATTTCTTGATGTAAATAATTAAATTTTACAACATATACTAAAGGTGTATTAATGTCACTAATTAGTAGTTAATTACATAAACATGCACAATATGTTGAAGCATAGTTTAATTAAATCTATAATAAATGTTGAAATATGAATTCGCTTAATGTAACCATAAAAATTTGCAGCATAATGAAAACGTGTTTTGGATTTCTTTAATTTTTACAAAACTAGAAAGCAGAAAAAAATTTTCTTGTATAAATAGTGACATTGTTTAAAACAATAGTTCTAAAACAAAAGTTTTTTAGAAAAAAAAAATGTATTTTTTATATAATTTAGAAGTTACTAATGATGTCAAAGTATCATACAAATACAATGGAGATATGTTACAGATTTAAACTTTTCCCATAAATTGCACAGCCAATAGTAACAGATAAATGTAAACTTTTCAACAGTAACCTCTTCAGAGCTATAAAAAACACTCTGAACATTGCAGTCAGATAACTTAAAAATAGATCTAATTGTATCTACAAATGCAGAACTTAATTAGTATTAGTACTCATGTCCCCAATCCGAGGCAGATAATTAAAAGACCTACTCCTTGAGATCCTGATCTACTTTAATTCGGATTAATATAAACACTTAATTGGCTAACTTTAATAAAAAAAAATAGTATCAAACTAACAATAGAGCGTCTCGGATCACTGGATACATAGGGAAAACTGATCATACCCCTACAGCTACACCTTACCATATTACAGCTAGACAAGACCATATTTCTACAGCTATACCTAATTCTTACAGCTAGACCAGGTTAATTGGTTTAGACCAGTTAGATCTTACCATATCCCTATAGCTAGACTTGATTCCCATATCTAGCCCTGACCATAGTAATGTCTTCTCACACATATTTTTTTCTAGCTAGACCAAACTGTACCACTCACTACAGAGAACTATTTACATAATATTTTTGTCATTTCAAACACTTCTTCAATGTCTATCTGACTCACACGGAGAGCATGATTACCTCAAGAACTAGTACAATACCAACTCTACTGCTACAAACTAAGCTGGATAAATGAAAGCCATTAATTGCATAGCACCAGTGGTTATTTTAAGTTCAAGCACTCTAACGATGAAGGGCAACAATTCAGCAGGAACAGATAATCCTATATGAGGATGGCTTAAACCTGCCTATAAGCAGGACAAGGGATGGTTTTAGAACTCTCTAGTCTATTTACATAACAGCAACAAGATGGTTTTTCTAAATACCTAAATCTGCGCAAACATTTACATATATTCTGAAACAAGGGCTCTGCAAGATTCTATTTGGCAGGACCAAAATACAACGGTAGTCCAAATAAAGATTAATAGTAGAATAACGCTAAGGAGCATTTAAATCCGAATTATAATTGTTATTTTCTAAAATTAGGGATTATTTTATAACCATAGTGTAAAATCGTAATAAAAATTGTAGTTTTATAATAATTAGAACATGGTATACTATAAATAACACAGCTTGAGTAATAGTTTAGTTTATTGAAGCAAAAATGCTTCCACTAATGAACAGACTTAATTTGTTAAATAAAACTTAAATCTTGATAAAACTAAAATATAATGCTGATTTTCATGAAAAAGGCGACAAGGTTTGCGTACTGGTTATTTATATGCTATTAAAAAAAATTAAAAATAAGTTACTTTAAATAAAATGTAACTCAAAATCTTATAGACATTTTTTAAAAATTACAGTATTATTTTTTTAGCCCAGGTTTTGATTTTATCTTATTATGAATAATTTGTTTTTACAGCAAATAAAATTAGTAAACATAAATGTAAAAAAAAAAAAAATCAGTATAGAGAACAAGAAAACTTGTCATGGTTGTATGGATAATAAACTGAAATAATCGTCTGAAACATAAAATAAATTTTTGTTTTAAAATGCCACATCATTAATCTGAAATTGAATAACAAATGCTTTAAAGACCATTTTTTAAAGAAATTTTTTTTCTCTTCATACTGCTAATTATAGTGCAATCTCAAATTCAACAATATCCTAGTAACTTTCAAACTTTTTATATAACATATGGCTAGTTATATCAATGACTTCAAAATCAAAACAGGAAAAACAAAAGTTATACATAAATGAGTTGCTGCTCAGGAGAAAAAAGAATATTTTAGGGGCACATTAAAGAAATGAACAACAAAGTTTGTAACAGATCCTTTTAGTTTACACAGTGGTGTGTTTCCTGAAGTCAAGAGAGTTGGAGTTAACACAGTACCTAATGCCTGTAGGCTTCGGTCCATCGTCAAACACGTGTCCCAGGTGGGCTTTACATTCTCTGCATTTTACTTCCATCCTCTGTAGGCCTACATTCATCAGAAGGAAAAAAATGTTGAAAATCTTTATAAAAATAACAGGAGCTAAAAATCAGTTTTACTAGCATAAAAAAAATTAAAAGAAAAGAAAATCAGATATATAACTCATATCCAACTGAGATGGAAAAAAAGTAAAGATGTCAAATAATGTGGGATATTAACAAGATCCATAAAAATAAAAAAATAAACGAATAGTATAACAGATTAGCATAGAGCAAGTTATCCTAATATATAAATCCCCACGTTCGCACATCTCTCTCTCTCTCTCTCTCTGTCTGTCCGCAAAAAATTTTCGCCGGACATCACGTCAGAATCGGCAGCGATATATGAAGAACTTTTTACGGACTTTTGTTGAAAATAATATGTTAGATGTTTTAAATGTATAACCACAATTTTAGTTAAAGAAGAAAAATAAAAATTAAAGGCGTATTCGAATGTAGAGAAACAGTATTATTTATGCAACCGGAAAAGCATTAATATATGTGAAAAAGAACGCATAAAACTGTGACGTCACTATTGCTTATACATTAACTAATGACGTCATCTGCCGTGTTTAGAATGAAAAGAAATGAACTATTTCATTCAAATTTGATTTAGATCTACGTACACTATGAAATGTATACAATACAATTTTTCCGGCCTAAACTCATAAAATTTATTTTATGTATTTGGATTCTAGATCTAGAGATTCTAGATCTAGACTAAATCTAAATCTAGGCAATAACTAGATCTAGACGTAGACGCTAAGATCTAGATTTAGACTCTAACTTCTCTAAAATCAATTCCAAAAATAAATTTCTATATTAGGACTAAACTATTTCAAGACTTATTTATTTTATACAAAATCTTTGTTTAAAACTGGCTAATTTGGGATAAAAAATTAATTTGAAAGAATAGGCATATTCGCGTAAGTTAAGATTTTAAAATACGTGTTTCATTCTCCGTATTTTATAAGGTGCCTAAATAGCGGAGATGTTAGTGTACATTAAACCACGCAGGTGGTGCGGGTTCGAGACACAGCAAGTCAACTTGGTTAATGTATTCTTTTTTATTATGCTCGGGCTAAACTTTAAAAAAAAATTCTTTTAGGAATCTAGATCTAGATTGTCGGGTGTCCGATAGTGCACTTCCCGGCGCCGCAGGCGCTTCAAATTTGGCTTGGGGCGACAGAACACGGGGGCCGGTTGGCCGAAAAGTCTACGATGTGGGGGTCAAAACTGACCTCGACTGACCGGTACCTTATATGAGCTATAAATCGAAAAAAAATGTCCACGGAGGAACCTCTTCATAACTCTTGAGGCCGTAGACCGACCTTCGGGCGAATTAATTAAGCATTCAAATTCTCAATGTTTTCGAAAGCCTAAGCGAAGCTGGGCAGCATGCCTATTATTTAGTAAACAAAACACACCTCCAATATTCTCTTCCTTTAAGAGTACTTTGCCCTTTGATATTACATCATAGAAAGCTGGCCAACCGGACCCAGAGTCAAACTTTGTCTCTGATGAGAAGAGTGGTGTGCCACAGACCACACAGTTGAAAACTCCCTCTTCTTTCCATTTCACATATTTCCCAGAGAATGGTCTGGAAACAGCATTGTTAAAAAGTTGGAATTTACATAAAGAAATAATTTAGGCATTGTTAAAAAGTTGTAACTTACATAAAGAAATAATTTCGGCATTGTTAAAAAGTTGTAACTTACATAAAGAATTAATTTTGGCATTGTTAAAAAGTTGTAACTTACATAAAGAAATAATTTTGGCATTGTTAAAAAGTTGTAACTTACATAAAGAAATAATTTTGGCATTGTTAAAAAGTTGTAATTACATAAAGAAATAATTTTAGCATTCACCAGTATAATTAATGGCTGATTAAGATAGTGGACAAAAATAAATGCCTGCTTGTCAAGTGTCCTTTCAATTCTTAAAACACTAAATTTTAGAAGAATCAACAGCTTTTTGAGTTATAAATAAATAAAAAAATTTCTCAAAATTTAAAAAGAATATTTTATTTTCAAATGATAAAATTATTTTCATTTTATAAGAATGCTATAAAAAGTAAAAATAGAATTTTATAGAAAGAGATTCAGTTTTAAAAAATTTCACAACTACAAATCCAAACGACTAAATTTAAACATTAAATTTACCATTGAACGCAAAAAAATAGCTCTCTAAATAATGTTTTCGAAACAGGTTAGCCATTGCAGTTGTTTTATAAAGGGATTCTATATAGGCTAAATACTTAAATTTTAAAGACAGTCCTCACTTCTCTGTCCCTAATTGCTGGGTGACACGAAATTGTGCAGGACTCAGACGTTTTTCAAGCTCTTCCTTGTCATACGGTGATAAACCTGCACCAGATTCACCGTCCAAGATCTTCTCCGCACCGTCTACAGCATCATCTTCTTGGGATTCAGCATCACTGATGCTCTTCAGCTTCTTTAACTTTGGAGAAATCTCCTGCTTTTTGGTGACATAGTGCAAGATGTTCATTCGGGCTGCTGAGAATTAAAAAATTTACTATAATTTAGCAAAAATATTTGTCAGTATCTAATTCTAAAATCGATCTGAAAATGAATATTGAATAGGCCTATATGACTCTTTAAACTTTAATGTCTTTACACTTTACAGTAGATCTAGAATAGTAAGAATACTGTAAGTGTAAACTGTAAAGAGTAGGCCCACTACTACTACTTAATTTAATAGTCAGTGACTAGATCTACATCACTACTCATGTCAACTTATCAGCAGTGTGTGTTTAGTAAACAGTAGTAGTAAACACTGTTGTTTAGTGTCCAGTGTACTAAACTCAAACTGTGAGTGTGTGTGTATTGAAATGTTTTGTTTTAGTCTGTAGGCCTAACTCTATAACTAACTAGATCTACTAATCTAACTAGGCCTATAATTAATTAAATAGTAATAAAAATAGGCCCAACTCTTTGTCACTGTAACAGACACTTCAGACAGTTGAGTAACTGAGACTGAGTCAACTGAGTGTAGTCAGTGGTCACCGCGGATTGACTTTTCTATTGTAACAAGGTTGGTATACCAAAACGTTTACAAAATTAAAAGGATAGCGATATTGTTTTCTCTGTTAAAAGGATACGAATGACAACAACTTCAATTAATTACATTGATCAAATGAATATAATAAAGGATCCAACACAAACTCGAAAGAAAACACACAGGCCTACACTACACTTCCTACTTTCTGGAAGTACTGAAAGATGTATGCCAGGTGCTACAATAGAATACAAAACATAAACAATATCGAAACTAATATTGTTGTAAAAGCTTATTGATTTTTATTACATGAGGTTTAGACCTAAAACGCTTTATTAACTTACATTTTCATTATTTTGATAAATAGAACTTGCGAGTGTTGCTCTTTTTGTTAAGATGTGAGGATGTGGCATAGAATAAGTCATAACTTAGACTTTAAAGTATTAGGCTTAATAAAGAATATACTATAGTTGAAATAGGCTTATATTTTCTTTGAACAACGTTTGGTTAGCGAAATAAAATTAATATAGACTACCAATATATATTTTACTCTATAGATTTAGTAATAGATAGTTTATATTCATATTTAAATTCTATGTATTTAAAATATTTTTTATTATTAAAAAGGTTGGCTTGGCGAATTTTATTTTTACTGGCAAGTAAACAATAGCTAAGGGCCTCAACTCCATTTTGTATTCCCGCCGATGCAGAGCAGGTAAGAAACATGGGTTAGCGATAATTAACAATATTAAATTGTATTTGGTTTTGAAAGGTTACTAGATCTACATAAGTATGCGGCAGGCCAGGTCTATATAAATGTAAAATCTAAAGTTTTTTTTAGTGCTAGTTAAACTGTTGAAAGCATAAGTGTTTGTTATGTGTGTGTAGAGTGTAGTCGGTAGTGAAGCAGTCAGGAGTAGTGAGCAAGTCAGAGGGGGTAATCCCTTAGTTTAGCGTCGGAAATTATCGGGTAATGTTTGTTGAGTTTCGGTAACTAGAGTTACGGTAAACCATGGTTTATTTGACCATTGAAATATAAATAAATTGAAAGTCGATTGTAGTAAATTAATGTTTTAATTTTTTAAGTTTAATCGACTAAAGGAAACAAGAATAAATATAATAGATCTAGTAGATTTAAATTAGTAGATCTAAAAATTAAAAAAAAACATATATTAATATAAATAGGCCTATAAATAATGAAGTCAAATGTAATAATTTAATGTTTTTGGCTTGCAGCGGATTTGCGACCATTAATTAATTAGATCTAGATCTAGCTAGATATCTAGCTGCTAGACCAAGTAAAAAAAATCTAGATTACGAAAATAGTAAAAATGATTACAAAATGTAAAAATGATTACAAAAATAAATCTATCCAAAATTTAAACATTCTGTATAAAAATAAAAGATGACGCCAAATAAAGTATGGTTTACAGTACTTCCGGTGAATTCCGGAAGTGTGTGACAGACTTTGGCATTGTTTTACTGTTTTTTTTACTGCTATACGATTCCGGAATAATAACCGACGCTAAACTAAGGGATTACCGTCAGAGGGACCCCCGGACAGGGCTAGATCTAGTCAAATGATATGATACTCTCATTACTCTGTAACTCTATCTATCTAGTATCTAGTTAACTCTAGCTATATCTAGCTCTAGATTCTCTAGCTGCATCTGATATGATGAGGATAGATTCTAGATCTAGAATCTAGCTAGGCCCTACTTTTTTGCAGTTTTTCTCAGAATTGACTCAATTTTAATTTTTTAAATTTTTTACTGTTTGTAATTTGGTAATAAACTAAAATAACTCAATTCACAAGTGCAAGAGTAGTGTCCGTAATTTAGATTTTTGCAAAAGAAAAGTGACAACAAAAAAAGTCATGCTATTGCTCCTTATTTTTAGGCTGCATCTATTTGGGGGGGGGGGGGGGCATTGAGGAGAAATCTAGACAATCTCAGATAGCAATGGTACTGTCACACTGTGTGTCATGTGTTACTAAAATGGCGACCAGTTTCGCTTTCACTAAAGAGGGATAAAACTAATGATTATGATGCCATCGTTAATTTTAGAAATCGGAACTTTCGTTTCTGTTATTTAAAAATTGTCAGATCTACTTTTGACCTAATTTCTTTGTCTCGCAAGCGGCGCCTAAGTGAAAATAACTCTATTTATTCTTGTCTTTCAAATCAATTAACTCTAAAATAACGCTTCCATTTCAAACCAGACTATGTGAATATTAATTTAAAAGCATTAATTTGTACACACATTACAATTAACTGGTGATAATTTATGGGGTTTATAAGATGTGATAGTGGGAAATGATCACCCCTCAATAATGCCATTTTATTATATTAATCTTGTTTGATGAAATCAAGGCGCAGGAAAATGTGTGCCGCGCAAGAATCCAATCATTTGGCTAGATTTATGACTGTTTTATCATGTCACACCTAAAAAAAGAATGTTTACATTTTCTTCATTGATGATCGTTTATTACTATATAAGTATAATTTGGTAAACTTAACCTTTATCAATTTTAAAAGCATAGCATGCTGATTGTATACAAATATAGTCATAAAACACAGACATATAAAGTTATGATTGCGATGTGCCACACCCCCTCAAGAAAGCACATGTTTATTACAACAGTAATTAAAATTCATTTTCAAATTTTTATTACTTATTAGGTAAGATTAAGCACATGTTTACTAATAATTAAAAAAAAAAGTAAGTTCTGTTTTAATGAAAGTCACAGGTCAAATATTTTTTCCTTCTGTCAAGTTCAGTGGAGGGTGCCACAGTAATAATGACTTTGCATAGAATGTTAAAATATGCTAAATTGGCTTAGTTTGCTAGTGTGCTAGCTTTTATTGATGCATTTTTTATTTTAAAAAAAAATCATTATGAAATTTTCATCAAAATGCCTACACTTAAACCAATGTGAACTCACAGTGACCCTAGTTAGACAGTGTCGGTATTTATCTCGCGCTGACAAGAAAATGTGAGCAGGCGATCAATGAAGCAATGATGTATATAATTGCTGTGTTTAAAAATCTAAATCTAGAAAAGATATAGAATCTTTTAAAAAAAAAACTATTCTAAGTAATTATCGAGACAGAATTAGAAACTTAGTTGAATACATATCTTCTCAGAAAAAAAAAATTAACTATATAAGATAAGATGTACCAGGAACAAGCAAAGGGAAATCCATGTTTAGTTAGGTTCTGAACCGGTGACTTCATAATTATTTTGTTTAGGCCCTATAGAGCTAAATATAGAGTATTTAAAAATAAAAGAACCTGAACATAACACTAGCAAAATCACAAAACTATTTAAAAAAAAACCCCAAAAAAATCAAATAAACATAGAAAGTGTCATTTTAATACAGGTTATATGTGTAACTATATGCACCAAACTTAATGATGAATAGCGGCTATGGCTACAGGAACCCGAGTCCTAATAGTGGGGTAGTGGGTAGTGTTGCATTCACAAATTATGAATTGCTGATAAGCAGAAAATAAAACAACTAGATGGCGGCATATATTAAGTCGCTGGTCAGCTCGTAATTTAGATTTTTCTAATTAGGCCTATAATTTATTATATCTACAGCTACTTAGCAGGGTTAACTAAGACCTAGATTTCAAATGTTTTAAATTTAAATACCCTGGAAATACTATAAATTATTTGACAGAATCCATCCCCTACCCCTTTTACACTTAATGACACATTTTATAAATTACTAAAATTAATGCTTTATTTGAAATAGACAAAATATTGTAGCTGCCACTTTTTCTCCATGAAGATTAAAATGTACAAGTCCAGTATTCTCACCTAGCGTCAGTTCTGGCAATCAAATTTTCTTTCCTGTCACATCTGCAGCACAAGATGTTATAATTTTTACATTTAAAAACTCATGACGGCCTTCCGTAGCAGATATAACTATTTATTTATAGAAAATGCCAGCTGGACGACCAAGACGCGCAACAAAGCAAGTTGCACCTACAGAAGTTGATGAATCGGAACAACCCTCAGAACTTTCCCTGTAAGTTTTAAAATATTTTCTTACATAAAATAGTTTTTGAAAATACAACACTTGAATCACATTTCTAAAAGACATTATTTGGTATTTAAAAGCTATTTTTTAAATAGTCTATTGAGATAGTTGTTTAGGTTAATAATGTTTTAATCTTTGATAGGCATCAGGATGATTCTGACAGTGACTTTGAGGAGCCTAAAGTGAAAGGCAAAAGAAAGAAGAAGGATGATTCAGGAGCTGTGAGTAATGTCTACACTAATAGTTTACATCTACTGTATTATCAGTGTGATCTGTTAACATGCTAGCCGATAAGCTAAACTGTTTTCTTTTTTTTAACATTTTTAGCCTGCCAAGCGTAAAAAGACTGAAACCAAAGCAAACAAAAGAGCACAGCTTGAGGCACAAAACCAAGTAGATGGGAGTCTATTTGAAACTGTTAAAGCAGGAAAAGCCTCCTTGCAAGTAAGTTAAAATGTTATGGCTTTATGAATTTTAGTGAAGATGTCAGTTTGATTTTAAATTACCCAAATAGATTTAATATGATATTAATGCTAGTTTGCTCACTGAAATTGTTCCAATGAGTGTTCTTTGCACTGTGACCCCAAATTTGTAGCAAACGTGTATGTAAAACAATTTTGTCTTTGATTTTGAGTGTTAGTAAAATATATTTTAAAAATTGTTTCAGGCTGTGGTGGATGACTGGATCGAAGGTTATAAACTTGACAGGAATGCCGCACTGTTGGAGTTAATTCAGTTTTTCATTCAGTGCTCAGGTTGTAAGGGGAAGATTACTCCATTCATGTATGCCAATATGGAACATGCTGAGATCATTCGTAAAATGACTGAGGAATTTGATGAGGTTATTTTATTTTATATATTGTTAAGAAAACTTTCATATTCTGTATTGTAAACATCAAATTTAGTTTTTAACTTTGTCTAGTTTTCTGGCTAGTGTGTTGAAAATTCAACTGCAGTAACTAAAAATGCATGTATATATATTTGTTAATTTAAGGCTAAATACTGAAGGCCTTGACTTCATATACAGTTTCAAATGCAAAAACTTCCCATTAAAATGTGATCAGCTGTAACAAATTTTCAACTTCAAAAAAATGTAAGAATTTAAAATTAATATTAATCACATTGATGCATTTTTAAAAGGTGTGTTTATTTCTGTCACAATCAGGAAAGTGGTGATTACCCTCTGATAATGACAGGCCCCCAGTGGAAGAAGTTCAAATCCTCGTACTGTGAGTTTGTTCAGGTGCTGGTGCGCCAGTGCCAGTACAGCATCATCTATGACCAGTACATGATGGACAACGTCATCTCTCTACTCACAGGTCTGACTGACTCACAGGTCCGAGCCTTCAGACACACCAGCACACTTGCAGGTCAGTGAGGGTTCAAGGTCGGCATTTATAGGGTAAAATTAGCTTGTATGGAGGTAATGCTCATGAGGGTTGGCATTTATATGGTAAAATTAGCTTGTATTGAGGTAATGCTGTTGAAGGTTGGCATTTATATGGTAAAATTAGCTTGTATGGAGGTGATGCTGTTGAAGGTTGGCATTTATATAGTAAAGTTAGTTTGTATGGAGGTAATGCTGTTGAAGGTTGGCATTTATATGGTAAAATTAGCTTGTATGGAGGTAATGCTGTTAATGTAACATAAGGTTTCCTTTTTTAACCCAACATTAGAACAAGCAATGCACTATTAAATCAAGTTTAATGATTTATTAGAACATTAAATTACGTTTTGAAAAGTAAAAGTTCCCCTATTGAACCTTACGGTCCATGGGGCCAAGTGAAGGCTTAATGTGGTCAGCAGTATGCCCAGCAGTCTTTACTTACCCTATTGTGAGTTAGGTACTCTTCATAACTGGATGGATTCAGGGACTTTCTACTGACTTGAGCCTGGATTCAAACTTGACTTTTCCAGTTAGTTGTCCACTGTTAATGTACTACAAAAATTTATATGAAAACATTAGCATCTAGCTGGTGTAATCAATCATCCTTTGACAAATTTAAAAAAAAAAGTATTCTCTGTGTCCACAGCCATGAAGCTTATGACAGCTTTAGTGGATGTGGCTCTAAACCTGAGCATTAACCTGGACAACACCCAGAGGCAGTACGAGTCTGAGAGAGCCAAGCAGCAAAACAAGCGAGCTGGGGATAGGCTTGACTTACTCATGCAGAAGAGACAAGAGGTTTGTTTTCTATTTAGCTGCACTGACCTTTAATTTTTAGCTCATTACCTCTGTTAAACCCTTTTTTTTAACCCTTAAAGCGTGTGCTACGTGGCCTTGCACGTTGTAAGTTATGTAACAGCATAGCCAAGACCATGGCTAGGCGCACTTAAAGGGTTACTTTTTTTCAATTCAAGTTAGCTGTATTAACCATTTGTAGTAGCTTAGCTAATTACTATGCAGTTTAATCTATCAGTTTTTGAACAAAGAGTTGTGTATAGAAAAAATATTACATGTTTTTATATATAAATATGTTATTTAACACCTGTATGACAAAATAAGTTTACTTCAATGCAAAATTATTTTCATTTTGTTAACAGTTAGAGGAAAATCAGGCTGAGATAAGAAATATGTTGACATACATATTTAAAGGTGTCTTTGTGCACAGATACAGGTAAATTTAAATTATTCTGAGTTTACTGTTTTTGTAAAATCATTTCTTTTTTACCATAAATAAATTTAGATTTTAAATTTTCATAATTAAGATTAACATTTCTCATTTTCATTTTTCTTTAGACTCTTTTTCTCTGCCTAGAGCTGTTATCTTTTACATTTAATATTGGACCATTTCCAAATTTTTTAGTTAATTTCATTGAAACTTAAGTATTTTATATTTTTCAATTCAGAGATACCCAGCCAGAGATCCGATCAATTTGTATGGCAGAGATTGGTGTTTGGATGAAGAAATATCCGAATATGTTCCTAGATGACAGTTATCTCAAATATGTTGGTTGGACTTTGTATGATAAGGTTGGTGATTTTTATTGTATGTGCTTGTTATAATTACATTTGTTTATACAGATAATATAACTTATAGAATATGGTTGGGGATTAGCATTTCATATGCTCATTGAAATGGATTATGATAATATAATATTTCTATAGTAACGAGTTGAAGGATTTGATCTGAAGAAATATATTAATTAACAGGTTGGGGAAGTGCGACTGTGCTGTCTAAAAACTCTGGCACCATTACATGAAACACCTGATCTATCTGGCAAGTTGGAGCTGTTCACCAATAGGTTTAAGGTATACTCAGCATCTCATTTTTTTTTGTTTGGTTATACACAAGAAATAAAGTTGTTTTTTTTTTCAACTTTCCATGGTTTTTAATTCTCTAGATGTAACATTCAGTGGGGAGTATTTTACCTTTTTACATAAATTTGGCCCCTGGTTTATACAAGTTAATACAAAAAATTCAATAAATCATTTTTTTAAATTCACTGATTACGCACATATGAAAAGAAAAATGTTATTTAAAATATAACTGTTTTAAAAAGCACAGATGATTGAAAAAACTTTTGATTTATATGAAACATTATTATATTGTAAAATATTCTATATCCCTCTCAGGATCGTATTGTGGAAATGACATTAGACAAAGAATCAGATGTTGCTGTACAAGCCATTAGATTGGTCATTTGTGTATTGAAGTAAGTAGCTCATAGTGATTTAAAGAGTAACATTATAGCATAGGAACTGTAAAGGATTGATCAAACAATGGATATAATGAAGACTGTGTATTAATGCCTCAAGATTTATGCCTGCATTACAGATACAGTGAGAATGTATTATCAAAAATAATGAGAATGTGTATGAGTTAGTGCATCAAAATCTCAAGATTTATTCCTGTATTACAGATACAGTGAGAATGTATTATCAGACAAAGATTGTGAGAATGTGTATGAGCTGGTGTATTAATGTCTCAAGATTTATTCCTGTATTACAGATACAGTGAGAATGTGTATGAGCTAGTGTATTAATATCTTAAGATTTATTCCTGTATTACAGATACAGTGAGAATGTATTATCAAAGATAGTGAGAATGTGTATGAGCTAGTGTATTAATGTCTCAAGATTTATTCCTGTATTACAGATACAGTGAGAATGTGTTATCAGACAAAGATTGTGAGAATGTGTATGAGCTGGTGTACTCGTCCAACCGATCTGTGGCCCAAGCAGCTGGAGACTTCCTTAATCACAAACTCTTCAAGAGGGATGACGAAGCCCCACCTGTGAGGTCGGCAAACGGTAAAAAGAGAAGCCCCAACACGCCCTTGGTCAGAGATCTTGTTCAGTTTTTCATTGAGAGTGAGGTAAATTGTTTTTTTTTTCTTTTGTTAGTTTTACCTTATGTATCGTGTTGTTATCACATTTAATGGTTTTTAATAAAAGGTGATTCTGTTCTATAAAATAGAAGTCACATCAGATTTTTTTAAATGCTTTTTTTTTTTTATAAAAAAAACTTCAAATGTAATTTTTTTAAATACACTTTTTTTAACCCTTGTAAATTAATCTTTAAATTCTAACCATGCTTTTTTTGTTGTCATTTTCATAAAAGTTTAAAAACAATCGTTAATGTTTCTCCTTCAGCTACATGAGCATGCAGCCTACCTTGTTGACAGCTTATGGGAGATCAATGAGATGATGAAAGACTGGGAGTGTATGACTGACTTGCTGCTGGAAGAGCCAGGGAAGGGGGAGGAAGGTGGGGCTTGTTCTACACTGTTCTAATCAACTCTACACTGTTCTAATCATCTCACTATCCTAATCTACCCTACACTGTTTTAATTAACTTTATCCTGTTCTAATCAACTCTAGAATGTTTTAGTCTACCCTAACTTGTTGTAATCAACTCTACCCTGTTCTAATTAACTACACTTTTCTAATTTTAATTTGCTCCACACTGTTCTAATCTACTTAAAACTGTTCTAATTAACTCTGTAATGTTCTGTTTAACTGTACAGTCTTATTATCAACTCTACACCTTTTTATTCAACTCTAGACTAGCTATTGATAATATAAACATCATGGTCTCTTGGTTCTTCAATGTATTCTGACACACCTGCCCTTTCTTTTGTTTAGCAATCAATGAAAAACTACCCTTGTTTACAATTAGTACAATAGTCCCTTTTTATCTCATCTACTTTTCAACCCTTCCAACTTGCACATGGGTTTTGGAATGGGGATGGGGTATTTTTGAGTACCCTTACTTATTGTATACAGTTAGTTGTGTAAATAGGTTTAAACATTGTCCCACACAATACACTAGTGTGACCTACTTAGGTCGAGTCAGGTTCCATTTTTATTTTGACATTGTATAATACCTTATATGGAGTGTTTGTGCAACACCTGGGGTTTTTCCACTGACTTATTAAGGTGTCTAGGGCCCAGAAAATTTCCATTAAGATCTGATTGAATGATTCTAATCAGATGACCATCCCAACCAATGGCTACATGAGTTGAGGATAATCTCCCCTGTTGCAGAAGTCTTTAACTGCCCCGCACACTCACCACACGTGGCAGTTTTTTACCTTGATCAGGCAGTTTTACCTTGATCAGGCAGCCGTCCATATTGTCCGGCTATAGACTCTGACCATTTGAACGTGAGAGAACTTAAGTCCTGTGTGTGCTATGCTTTCTTAAGTTGATTTAGTCTTCTAGTATAATATTACTTGTAGCCAAGTAATTCTTGAAGTTATAGCAGTGTTGTGTGGCCTGTGGCTATTTTTAGACAGTGTAGAAATCTGTGATAGTGTTTTTCCTACATTTTGTAAGTTGGGTTTTGATATTTTATACATTAAATATTTTATCTAGTTCAACCTTGTGTTATGCCACAACTGTGTTCGCAGATTAAAGGTTGTATGTAGATTGGATGAGTGTTAATACAATAGTATCACTAGCTTCCCTAGACATTGAATTCGAGCCCTAGTGTGTCGTTGTGTTAGTGTTCATCCACTTAGGCCGTAAGGCATTTGCATATGACCCCGAAAAAAGAATCTGGGGACGTTCACCGTCTATTTGGCTGATAGATAGGTAAACGTTACACTAGTATAATTTTATTTAGATTTTGTATTGTGATGTTGTAATATTTAAACAATTTTTTGTTGTATAGCTTTGGATGACAAACAGGAAACAAGTTTGATTGAGATAATGGTTTGCTGTGTGAAACAGGCTGCTACAGGGGATTCACCAATAGGAAGAGGCCCAAACAAAAAGGTTAGATCTATGTAACTGCTGTTTATGAACTTCATAGCCATGTTTTGTTCTACATCATTAAAAAGGTTTAAGAATTGGTTTTTTGATAGACAATTAATTTTAATTTTTAGGCATTTATTACTAGGCTAACCCAAATTTTTCTTTGCTTTTTATATTTATATTTTGTAAATTTGACAATATCATTTTAAAAATCTTTTTTACAGGCAATTTTCAAAAATTATTTTTGTTGCCATTTACTGGTCAATTTTGAAAATGTAGTTTTTACCAATTATACCGATCACATTATTTACATCATGTTTTCTCTTGTGGTTTTTTTTTTAATTAGATGTCAGCTAAAGAAGTGAAGCAGGTCTCTGAGGACAAACAGAGGTTGACTGAGCATTTCATTGTGGCATTGCCACAGTTACTACTGAAGGTAGTTCATCATTGTGAAAAATTATAGAACTAGTATTAAATTTACCATCACACTTGATTTTGCATTGCCAGTTACTTATGAAAGGGGATCATTATGTTTGAGAAATACAAACATACAGTTAGTTTGATTTCACACCTTATTTTATGACTGGTTGCGCAGGTTCTTTAATTAATTAGTTGTTTATGTCTTACAGTATTTGATGGATGCCGAGAAAGTGGCAAACCTTCTACAGATTCCACTCTACTTTGACCTGGATATTTACACCTCTGGGAGACAGGAAAAGGTAAGTCTTCACTTTTGAGGCTAGTAAGTTAGGTTTTACTAGGGCAAGAAAAATTTTTCATATGTTTCATCCAGCTAGATAATTTCTTGTTTTTTTTTATAATTTATGGTAATAACAGTTACTAGAGTTTCAATTATTTAGGTACATTTTTATACAAGTAAAGTAATTAAAACCTTTTTTATTCCAGAACCTCGAACTGTTGCTGCGCTACATAAATGACATTGTAGAAAAGCATACAGGCTCTGAGGTTAGTTTAACTATTCTTAACCATTATTTGGTAATTTAAAAGAAAATGTTCACTTATTGCATTATCCAATATTTTCTTGCTCAATTTGTTGAACATAAAACCTGCACCAAGTACAGTGATGTCGCTTTTCAATTTTTCAACCAGATTTTTCAGTTTATGAGTATTTGCTGCCAAAATAAATGTATGATCTCTAAATATTTAACATTTACATAGATGATCTCACACTCCAATCTTCTCCAAACTCATGAAATAACAATATAATACTACAAAAAATTGTTTACTTTTTTTAAAAATGTAAAGAAAAAGAGAACATTTTTGCCAATTTTGTAAATCTGTTCATTCATCCATTCAAAATGGCATAAATTTATCAAAAACCTTAAACAAAAGCTGTTACACACTAGACCACTCTAACCCAATACATCACAATTCAATATTATAGAAAACTATTTTCTACTCTTTAAATTGTATAGTGTGTACAACACCTTACCTTATTTAAACTATTGACTTCTCAGGTCCTTGAGGCCTGCTCCAAGTGCTTAGAATGTCTATGTAACGAGGAGTTTGCTATTGCTGGTAAGAGTGAGGTCAGCAAGAAAACCCTGATTGATGCATTGGTCATCAAGCTGAAACAAGCAGTACAGGATTACTTTACAGAGGTAACCAACACATTAATTTAAAGTTTTCCTTTCTCTTATCCTTGTAATTGCTTAAGTTGGGTCAAATTAAAAAAAATTTATGTGAAAATGGCTATTAGGTTTTGTTTGTAGAATACTGTTTTTGTATTTTTAGGGAGATACACCAGATGAAGATGAAGTCTTTGCATTACTAGCGGCTTTAAAGAGGATCGGAGCATTTTATGCGTGAGTGTGCTCACACTTTCATTACTTTATTTTTAGTTACCTCCCAAAACTAAGTTTTTTTTAATGCTGTAACATTTAAAATGTACTAGACTACAACTTCCATGCTGTAATATTTAAAATGTACTAGACTATAACTTCCATGCTGTAACATTTAAAATGTACTAGACTACATTTTCCATGCTGTAACATTTAAAATGTACTAGACTACATTTTCCATGCTGTAATATTTAAAATGTACTAGACTACATTTTCCATGCTGTAATATTTAAAATGTACTAGACTACATTTTCAATGTTGTAACACTTTGAATGTGCTTGATGTTGTAGCTGTCATGACCTGACCAACTGGGAAGTCTGGGAAGATATCTTCATTGTCGTCAAATCAGCCAAAGAAAAGGCTCCCATCCCTGAAGAAGTAAGTTATACAGTTTTATTAACTTCTTTCATCATATGTTTCCTAAACTCTTGCTTTTTTTAAACTCACAGGCTACTAGTTAAAATGGTAAAATGTCATAATTTCTTTGCTTCTTGAATGTGCTTTAGATCATTGTAAAAGCCATCCAAGCCAGTGCTCTAGCTGTTATGTTTTATTTCAAGCGTTTGGATGAGACAAAGCCCAGACCAGTAAGATACTTTTCTTTACTTATATTTCTTCAAATTTTTCTACTTTTTTAAATATTAAAATAACATACAGTTTATTATCATTATTTTTCTTGAACCATAAGGAAAACAAAATTTTTTTACCTACAATTATCAGGATGAAATGAAGAGGATCAGAAAGAAGTTGGCATTACTCATGCTTTGCTGTCATGAGCTGATGTTTCATGAGAGTGAAAAAGTTAAAGAAGAGGTTTGTGGGGTTTATTTCTTTTACCTATGTTAAGGCTCATTAGTAAAAGAACAGGTATGTCTTGTTGATTTATGTTACCATACAAAAGTGTTAAAACAAAGTGAATCCCTTTTTTACTTTCTCATATATACGAAGTATAGAGAAAGTCTTGTAATCGTGCAAAAAAAAAATCTCGACGTTTTACACCTCACTGATATGGAAAAACATAATTTTGCAAATCTTGTCCGTATGTCTGTGTGTGTGTCTGTGTGTAAACACGATTATTTGAGTACCGTTACAGCTAGGTTGATGAAATTTCATATATAAGTATTTTATCAAAATCGTAGATCCGTATCAACTTTTGAGCAATTTCTGATAACCGGAAGTGTACTTTTTCTACTTTGAATTTTGAGTACTATTTCAGATAGATAAATGAAATTTCACATGTAAGTAAAAGATCTAATTCTCTACTTTCTGTCTAATTTTGAGTAATTTCCGTTTACTGGAAGTACTAATTTACGCTATTTCCGATTTCTCAAAAAAACGCACGTAAATTTATAAAGTACTAATAATATCCCGCACTGTTATGCACATTTTATTAGGCGTTCACTTAGTGTGCAATTCTTTTTTTTTTTACGAGATTCCATTCTATTATAAAAAGTTTAAGTAATTAAAAATGGATTACAAATATTGTCTATGTCCTGAGTTGCCATCCCTCGTAGTTTTATATTAGAATATCCGAGAAAGTTTAGGGGAGATCACTCCCGGTTTATTTATCTTTTAATAACTGATGTTCTTTTTGTAGTGATTCTAAGTGTAACTGTAAAATGTTGAGAGACAGCCTATCAGAAATCTCTTAAACATTAATTAGTGTTAGAACATAAGGCTATGATATCAACTAGCACAGGGACAGCATGGTCGAATAGTAGAGAATAAAACTTCAGTCTCGAGATTGGATCTTGACCTTGATTTTGCTGTACGTCCCTCAGTTCACCTAGCTCGGATGGGTACCTGAGTCACATTAAGGAAACTAAGATGTCTGGGCATAGCACTGACCATACTAATCTTAGTTCTAATTGATTGCAAAATATTTTCCTTTTATTGTTTAATTGCATCCTGCAACTATCTTATTGTAACCTGCCCTAACATTCATTTAATTGTATCTAACTTAAACCCCCCACCCAGGCCTATGTGACCTGCCCTCAACATTCATTTAATTGTATCTAACTTAAACCCCCCATCCAGGCCTATGTGACCTGCCCTCAACATTCATTTAATTGTATCTAACCCCCCCCCCATCCAGGCCTATGTGACCATCTGTGACCTGCCCTCAACATTCATTTAATTGTATCTAACTTAAACCCCCCACCCAGGCCTATGTGACCTGCCCTCAACATTCATTTAATTGTATCTAACTTAAACCCCCCATCCAGGCCTATTTGACCTGCCCTCAACATTCATTTAATTGTATCTAACCCCCCCATCCAGGCCTATGTGACCATCTGTGACCTGCCCTCAACATTCATTTAATTGTATCTAACCCCCCCATCCAGGCCTATGTGACCATCTGTGACCTGCCCTCAACATTCATTTAATTGTATCTAACTTAAACCCCCATCCAGGCCTATGTGACCATCTGTGACCTGCCCTCAACATTCATTTAATTGTATCTTATCCCCCATCCAGGCCTATGTGACCATCTGTGACCTGCCCTCAACATTCATTTAATTGTATCTAACCCCCCCATCCAGGCCTATGTGACCATCTGTGACCTGCCCTCAACATTCATTTAATTGTATCTAACCCCCCCATCCAGGCCTATGTGACCATCTGTGACCTGCTAATTGTGTTCAGCCCCCACCTGGCAGAGATCAATCTCCTGCTGAAGCCAGTGGTCTATGATGTGGAACCCAAGCTGACGGCACATCTAGGGGAGTTCCTGCAGATGAAAGTTTTTGTTGAGGACGATGATGGTTAGTTTTTATTTAAGTCTTTTCACAATAGGGTTCTGTTTTTGAATTTTACTAGTGTTAGTGGGCATCAGAAAGTTTTTGTTAAGGACGATGATGGTTAGTTTTTATTTAAGTCTTTTCACAATAGGGTTCTGTTTTTGAATTTTACTAGTGTTAGTGGGCATCAGAAAGTTTTTGTTAAGGACGATGATGGTTAGTTTTTATTTAAGTCTTTTCACAATAGGGTTCTGTTTTTGAATTTTACTAGTGTTAGTGGGCATCAGAAAGTTTTTGTTAAGGACGATGATGGTTAGTTTTTATTTAAGTCTTTTCACAATAGGGTTCTGTTTTTGAATTTTACTAGTGTTAGTGGGCATCAGAAAGTTTTTGTTAAGGACGATGATGGTTAGTTTTTATTTAAGTATTTTCACAATAGGGTTCTGTTTTTGAATTTTACTAGTGTTAGTGGGCATCAGAAAGTTTTTGTTAAGGACGATGATGGTTAGTTTTTATTTAAGTCTTTTCACAATAGGGTTCTGTTTTTGAATTTTACTAGTGTTAGTGGGCATCAGAAAGTTTTTGTTAAGGACGATGATGGTTAGTTTTTATTTAAGTCTTTTCACAATAGGGTTCTGTTTTTGAATTTTACTACTGTTAGTGGGCATCAGAAAGTTTTTGTTGAGGATGATGATGGTTAGTTTTTATTTAAGTCTTTTCACAATAGGGTTCTGTTTTTGAATTTTACTAGTGTTAGTGGGCATCAGAAAGTTTTTGTTGGGGACGATGATGGTTAGTTTTTATTTAAGTCTTTTCACAATAGGGTTCTGTTTTTGAATTTTACTAGTGTTAGTGGTCATCAGAAAGTTTTTGTTGGGGACGATGATGGTTTGTTTTTATTTAAGTCTTTTCACAATAGGGTTCTGTTTTTTAAATATTACAAGTGTTAGTGGTCATCAGAAAGTTTTGTTGAGGACGATGATGGTTTGTTTCTCTCTATGGAGTTCTATTTTTTCTTTTAAATCTTACTGGTTTGAGTGTAAATCAGAAAGTCTTGAGTTTGGTTCCTGAACCTGTAGTAGATGTCTCTTAGTACTTAATTATTTGTGGAAAGTGAAGGTGAAGTTTGACTACACAGTACCTTAGTATGCTGTTTATGTCTGCCTTACTGGCTATACTATTCAAAAGCTGTCCGTACCTATATTTAATTTTTAATCTACTTTAAATGTATTACTTGACATGATGTTAAATGGTACAACTTAGACAGTGAATAATATCCTTTTGGGAAACTTATTCCAAAATGTAAATTATTTCATTTTTTATCTTAACCAGGAAATATAAATTCATACATTACTTATTTTAAACCTCCCTTAATTTAAAAAAAAACAATCGTTCTTATATTATTTTAATAAAAACGATCATTAAGGTAAGATTTTTTTCAATATTTATCAGAATATGCATAAGATGAATTTTTAAAAAAATGAATACCAACAGATGATATGGATGAGAATGTAAAGATTGAAGAGCTCCACAAAAGAAGAAATTTCCTTGCCAGTTTTTGTAAACTGGTTGTGTATAACATTGTTCACATCAAGGTGGCAGCTACTATGTTCAAACATTACATGAAGGTAAGTGTTCTCATGTTAGTCCAGGAGCTAAGACTCTTAATGAATACATCTTAACTGTTTTAGTATTGCAGTCACCTCATGTAATTTCACTTGGTAGAACATCACAGTTGATGCATTACAGCAAAATTTGGACTGTTCTGTTTTTCAATAGCACTTTTGCTTTTGTATTAATTTTATGCTATTGAAACTTAACCTAAGAAAGCACCAATAATACAAAGTTTTATGTAGGTACTTTTATTGAGTATTTAGATTTTGTGGAAATATTTTCAAATATATCCTGTTGTTTTTAATACTTAGATTTTCCATCCTGTTTTATGTTAAGATTTTTTAAATATTAGCTACAGTTCATTATGCCATTTTGCTTAAGAATTTAACATGTCAGGGTAAAACAATATTTTGATTAAAACCCTGTTTATTTTAAAATTTTACTTACTGCTAAAATAGAAATAATTGGTCTTAGGATAAAAAAATATGTCAAGTATAAACTATATAAACTTTGAATGTTTTAGTTTTACAACGACTATGGTGACATCATTAAATGGACACTGAGTAAAGCCAGGGAGATCAACAAAGTTACAACATCCAAGACCCTGGCCATTAGCTTACAGCAGGTAACTGACATGTCCATGTCTAACACTACCTATACTACCATCATACAAGATTCAAACAGCACTTATTTGAGTCACATTTTACAAACGAGCCGACCCACAGCGTATCATACGCCGCTATTTAGTTGTTTTATTTTCTACTTTTCAGTAATTCATAATTTGTGAATTCGACAGTACCAATGCTGCCACTGAAAATATTTGCTTTAAAACATTAACCCCCACCCCCCCCTTTCCCCTAACCCCGACCCTACCCCCCCCCCCCCCCTCATGAAAGCAGCCTCCTCTTAGTTATTTCTTAGTTACCTCCTGTAAGTTTAAAATCGAACTAAATTATCTGCCCCTAATAGAAACCCGACTCTACGGCTCTACGATTTGTAAACATTTAGCTTTGTAAACATTTAGCGTGACCACAGCTCACGCCAGACAATGTGGGGGTGGGGGTGGTAGTTATAGAGAGAAAGAGAGGGGACTGCAAGGAGGCGCTTGCAGCTTGTTTTTTCTAACGGCTCCCAGAAGAGAATTATATATATAGATATGCTCTCTGGTTCACATAATATAACTAATATTTAACATGTGGTGTCTAGTTAATAGAGCATTTATGTATGTATTTAAAATGTTATATCTGTTGATGCAACATTAATTTGATTGAAATGTTATAAAAAGTAGTATCTAGTTAATAATGTTAATGTCTATTTTCCAGTTATTCAAAGAACTTCAGGCAGAGCATGGAGATGTGGACAGGTCATCTGATGCTTTCCAATCCATTAAGGTAAAGATGTTAATAATATAACTATTCCATATTTAAAATGGAATTGATCACCAAAGCCATTGATTAGTTCTAATCTATTAAGGTAAAGATGTTAATAATATAACTATTCCAAATTTAAAACGGTAGGACAATCTTTGAAACTAAATTTACAAATATTTGATCACCAAAGCCATTGATTAGTTCCAATCCATTAAGGTAAAGATGTTAATAATATAACTATTCCAAATTTAAAATGGTAGGACAATCTTTGAAATTAAATAAAAAATATTTGATCACCAAAACCATTGATTAGTTCTAATCCATTAAGGTAAAGATGTTAATAATATAACTATTCCAAATTTAAAATAGAAAATCTTTGAAACTAAATATTTGATCACCAAAGCCATTGATTAGTTCTAACCCATTAAGGTAAAGAAGATTTAAATAATAAATAACACCTCTGAATTAAAATTGGTAGGAAAATCTTTGAAATTAAATTAGAAAGAATATCAGATCACCCTAGCCATTTCATTAGTTCTGACTTAAATTTTCCTATAGTTTAAAATATTGTAACCATTTGTTAACAGGAGTTGTCTAGGAGGTTTGCTCTGTCCTTTGGTCTTGATCAAATAAAAAACCGTGAAGCTGTGGCAACAATGCACACGTAAGTTTGATTTATCCATCACTAGAGATACATGTCTACCCTGTTTTCCTAAATTAACCATTTAATCGTTTGAATGATCTATAAATGCACACATAAGTTTGATTTATCAGTATCACTAGAAATACATATGTCTACCCTGTTTTCTAAATTAACCATTTAATCGTTTGAATGATCTATAAATGCACACGTAAGTTTGATTTATCAACATCACTAGAGATACATCTATCTACCCTGTTTTCTAATTTAATCGTTAGAATGATCTATACATTTTGGCTCTAATTAAGTTGTAGGATGTAGTTAAAACAGAAGTTTATTCCTAGTAGATCCCATGAAAACTAGTCTTTCCTTTTTTTTTTGTTACTTTTTGTTAAATGTTTTCTAAGTCATAGCCATAATACTTATTTCAATTATGTTTTTGAAATTATCAAATTTCTGTTTGAAAATTATATTTTTCTACGCATATGTATTTCTGAACTAGTAGCTGTTTGAACATTAAATATTTGAACGTTTTTTTTTTTTAAATTGAAATCAACAGGGAGGGTATCATGTTCAGCCTGACACCATTTGAAAACTTTGACAAAGGTCCAAATGCTGCCCCACCCAACTTAGCCTTCCTGGAGGTGTTGTGTGAGTTCACGAACAAACTCATGAAACAGGACAAAAAGACAGTGTAAGTTGTTTGGTCTGACTGTATGGGTCCCTGTGTAAGTTAGGTCTGACTGCATAGGTCCCTGTGTAAGTTAGGTCTGACTGCATAGGTCCCTGTGTAAGTTGTTAGGTTTGACTGCATGGGTCCCTGTGTAAGTTGTTAGGTCTGACTGCATGGGTCCCTGTGTAAGTTGTTAGGTCTAACTGCATGGGTCCCTGTGTAAGTTGTAAGAGTCCTTATGTAAGATGGTGTTTAAAAACTGTTAGTGATTATTGTTGGTGAAAGTTGCTTTTTTAGCATAAAGAGTTGGTTTTTTCTTTTTGTTTTATTTTATAAGGGATAGTGTAAACCGTCCAGAGTATATTTTTTTTTATATGTATAAGCGTAAAAGTGGCTATTTTAAAAAAAAATCGGTAGTTTTTAGTTTTGCTTTATGAAAGACAAGTGTGATTATCATGGGAAATGTTTTTCATCTTTCAGGGTAAACTACCTGGATAAGCAGGTGGAAGGTAAAATACCTCAGGTAAGACAGGAAGACTGGCAGCCTTTCTTCACGTACAGGAACAGTTTGATGCAGGGGGAAACAGACTGGAATCCCATCACTCTCAAGCAGGCAGCACAGAAACGTTATGGCAGGAAGAACAGACAAGATAGTAAGTTTTACCATTAGCAGTTGCAGAGGTTTAGCGAAGGGGGGGGGGGGGGCAGCGGGGTACTTATGTCCCCGGGCGCCGACACTAGGGGGTGCCAAAATGGGTTAAAAAAAATTAAAAGCTCATTTTAGCGAATTTTTGCATTATAAATTAAAAAATATATGGGGGGGGGGGGGGCAAATTGAAAGTTTGTCCCCGGGCGCTTGGAAGGGTCGCTATGCCTCTGAGCAGTTGGAATAGCTCTTCTTGTTATTGGTAGTTTGATTTGACTAGTTTTTGTTGGTTTTTTTTAACTGCTTCTTTACATTTTGTTTAAACTTTACAAGTTTTTGTTGTTACTGGATGGTTTTGTTTGTGGCTTCATTGCATTTTGTTTGAAACAAAAATCCTATTATTTCTAAAACTTCTTTTGTTATACAACCTGATTAGCTGAAAGTTAAAGACATCGAGAAAAAAAAATTCATGTAGGCCTATATATATTTAATCAGTGAAGTTTATTGGTTGAAAATGTTAAGTTCACTAAAGACATGTCAGGAATAGTGAAGTTGACAACAGAATTACACTGGATTGTTAATGGTACCTGATTTCACTTAGCCTTATTGGCTATAATCCATTTGTTTTGTAGTGTGTTACTGTTTAATGGGTGTGACATAGTTGTATTCATTTGTATCATCATCATTTTTCCATTTTATTCCTTGCAGAACATTAGGCCTCATCACTATCTCCTTCCACTCTGTTTAACTTTTCCCTATTGCTTCCTATCCTTATAGCCTTTTCCAGCACACTACATCACCATGTCTTCTTGCATTTTGTTTGCCGTGGGGTGGGGGGGGGGTCCATTCCAAGACATGTCTGGTCTACTGCCAGTGTCTTTTCTGAGCGTGTGCCCAATCCATCGCCATTTCTTTTCAATGATTTGCCTTTCTTTTGTTACCTGTCCACACATCTGCTACAGTTTTGCGTTTTCTATCTTGTCCTGTTATTTTATTTGTAATATCCTCCTTCAGCACCTATTTATAAAATTCAGCCTTGTCAGGAAACTTTATTTTATTTAACCAATCTCAGCCTCATCAGACACAAGCTATGAACCTCACACACCAGGACCCATGAGTGTCCAGCCTATGACATCAACAGCGGTCAAGCGCGGCCACCACCATGAACAGGACGAAGATTCCAACATGGAGTCCAACATTGGCTCCGAGCAGGATTTTGATGACTCGTAAGATTCTCACTTTGTGGATCATCTGCAGCATTTATTTTTTTTTGTTTTTGACTGTTTTCATTTCTTATTTATATTTACTGTTGTTTTATATTTTTGGTTAACTGTTGCTTTGTATCATATTTTCTTTTTCCTTTTTGTTTTCATTATATGATTTTCTAAGGAAATCTAGAATAGATGATAGCCGAAATAGATAAAAACTGTATAATGTTAACTCATTTTTGTGGATAAATAAAAAAAAATATTACATTGATTATTTCTAGATATGAGTATGATAAATCAGACCTAATGCAAGCTAGTAGAAAGTGTTAATTGATCACAATTAAACATAAAATTAAATATAAAAATGTGCAGCTTTTAAAACCTTTAAAAAAATTTCATTACTTCTTTTAGTAATCTTGTCAAATGGTAAAGGGATTAACGAGATTTTAAACTTTAAAATAAAGACAGCTCATTGATTAGCCAAGCCATCTTTTTGTTAATGTACATACACCAGCAACGTGTTTTACATGAGAAACGCTATACTTGGTTTATATTATTTCTGTTTCAGTTTTGATTGTTGTCTAAGTTTGGTTGCTAATTTATTTTGATTTGGTGCTTGAAAATAGAGAATATTAATTAAGTTGTAACTCTCTTTAACTGAAGATCATTTCTTTCCCTAAGATTATATCATCTGTTAGATTGTACATGTTGTAAAAAGGTTGTTTAATGTCTTTTTATATTTATTAAAACACAATTGTAAAGGCAGGTAAAAGTAATCAGTATTACACCAAAGGCTGATCAGACAGAGGTGTCCAAGTTACAGTTAATATAGACTTGACCAGACCATATTTAGTTTTGTTTACTGACTTGTCAGATGACCAGTAACTATTGTTTTAACATACTGACAAATGACATGTAAAAAACTGATTACCTCTGCAGTCCAGCTTAAATCACTAAACCATTTATATGGTAATATTAGTTGAAATATTTTAATTAATTTTAAGGTATTCAGAAATAAAGTTTTTCATTCTCGCTGTGCTGTTAAAAATTATTTTTATAAATGTTTTTATTTCTGTATCATATTTGTGTTGCTTTCACATTTTTTTTTATTCTGCATTCACAATTTTTGTGTTATTTTTATTAAACACCATGTTTGGTTCTGGTGTTTAGGTGTTCACTTTTTAAAATAATCTTTTTGTATTAACTGGTTTTTATGTTGTTCTCTCCCCTGATTTATTCACAGATGTAAATATTGTCTCCCCTCTCTACTCAGTCATGAATAGACTGGGGAGAAAGAAAAATGTAAATAGGAAACATTTTATACTGTGTAAATAGCTAGTGAATATACATGTTGTATTTTTTAAATAAAACCTAATTAGCTCTGCATCTTAGTGGTAATTTAATATACATAAAGTATATATGGATTACTTTCTCATTTTGATGATAATTTCAAGAAATGAAATTAAATACGACTTAAATAAAAGTTTTGCCATTATAACATTTGTGTTACTATTTTTATTTTTGTGTGGATTCACCCATTGATTTTATTGTTTCTGATTTGGATGTAGTTCCCTCACCTTAATTTTCTAATTTAGTCATATTTATATTGAAATCAATAATTTAGGTGTCATGTCTTCACAAATTGTAAATTAAGTTAATTTTTGTGCACTACTGGGTAGTGTTATAAGAGCGATTAGATTAGTTTTGTCTTCTGCTTTTCACCTTTTTTCAAATGTGTTTCCTGTAACCCACTTTAAAATTGTATTCCCACCTACTTACTTGTTTTATTACCATGCTACAATTGGATTTACTTACCTGTTGTTACTGTCACCTCAACTGAACTGACCCACCTTGTTAGCTTACAACTTACCTGACCCACCTTGTTACCTTACAACTTACCTGACCCACCATGTTACCTTACAGCTTACCTGACCCACCTTCTCACCCTAAAGTTTACCTGAACCACCTTACAACTTACCTGACCCACCTTCTCACCCTACAACTTACTTGACCCACCTTCTCACCCTACAATTTACCTGACCCACCTTACAACTTACCTGACCCACGTTGTTACCTTACAACTTACCTGACCCACCTTGTTACCTTACAACTTACCTGACCCACCTTCTCACCCTACAATTTACCTGACCCACCTTACAACTTACCTGACCCACCTTCTCACCCTACAATTTACCTGACCCACCTTACAACTTACCTGACCCACCTTCTCACCCTACACCTGGACTAACCCACGTTGTTGCCTTATAGCTTACCTGACCCACCTTGTTACCTTACAACTTACCTGACCCACCTTGTTACCTTACAACTTACCTGACCCACCATGTTACCTTACAGCTTACCTGACCCACCTTCTCACCCTAAAGCTTACCTGAACCACCTTACAACTTACCTGACCCACCTTCTCACCCTACAACTTACCTGACCCACCTTCTCACCCTACAATTTACCTGACCCACCTTACAACTTACCTGACCCACCTTGTAACCTTACAACTTACCTGACCCACCTTTTCACCCTACAATTTACCTGACCCACCTTACAACTTACCTGACCCACCTTGTAACCTTACAACCCTTTGACCCTCCTTCTCACCTTACAACTTACCTGACCCACCTTGTAACCTTACAACTTACCTGACCCACCTTCTCACCCTACAATTTACCTGACCCACCTTACAACTTACCTGACCCACCTTGTAACCTTACAACTTACCTGACCCACCTTCTCACCTTACAACTTACCTGACCCACCTTGTAACCTTACAACTTACCTGACCCACCTTCTCACCCTACACCAGGACTAACCCACCTTCTCACCTTACAACTTACCTGACCCACCTTGTTACCTTACAACTTACCCACCTTCTCACCTTACAACTTACCTGACCCACCTTACAACTTACCTGACCCACCTTACAACTTACCCACCTTCTCACCTTACAAGTTACCTGACCCACCTGTTTCTAAAACACCTGCAGCAGTTCCAGAAGCGCCCAGGCCAACTGGTCCCACAAAGCGCCACAACAGGAGCACCACAACTTGAGGAGATCAGACAGGCACAGACATCCCCCTGCCACGTAAGTTAGACACTCCCCTCCTCATAGACACCCCCTGCCACGTAAGTTAGAAACCCCCCTGCCACGTAAGTTAGAAACCCCCCTGCCACGTAAGTTAGACACACACACACACACCCCGCCACATAAGTTAGACCCCCCACGCCACATAAGTTAGACACCCTCTGCTACGTAAGTTAGACACACACACACCCACCATTTAAGTTAGACACCCCCCTGCTACCTAAGTTAGACAAACACCCCTGCCACGTAAGTTAGACACCACCTGCCATATAAGTTTAACACCCCCTACCACAAGTTTGATCACACCATCAAGCCTATTTTATTGTGTTGGATGTGTTCTAACTCAATGAAAATAAACCCTCATCTAATCAAGTCTTGCTAGATCTACTAGCTACCTACCGTTACTATACATTTAACTGTTTTAAATTCCTGTGATGGTCATGTTCTCATCCAATTAGAATAGGCTCTACATCTAACCAAGTAACTACTGTTACACCCCAAAGATTCCTTATTGCGTTACTTGTCTATTCCATGCTCGTTGCAAAAGTATTTGGCTAGTCTGTCCTTAAGTGAATTTCCACACATTATGTACTCGTTTTGTCTAAATATCTCTGTTTGCTCTAGATACTGCCACATTATGTTTAGCTGTGGGTAAACTGTTACTTATAATTACCCTTGGGTATTTAAATACCACACGAGGCAATGTGGTCAGAAGTAGAGCTCGTGGTCAGAAGTGAACTCATTGTCACTAACCCAAAAGTCTGAAGTTTTGTAGGACCACCTGAGTCCACTCAGACCTAATGGGTACCTGAGGAGTTGGGAAAAGAAAGTGGCTAGGCTTAGTGCTGATACACTATCCCTTTATACCTGAGGTCACTTTTTTTAAACATACAAACATTAATTTTCTCACTCAATTATGCATTATTTTTTATATAGTTCGTTAAAAAACCTTTTCAAGTAAAAAAAAATTTAATGTCTGTTCATAAAATTTTCAAGAGACCAGGGGAAATAGAATTTTTTTCTCATTTAATTAGCTATGAAAACAGCTTCCGATCTACAATAAAGAATAATTCCTGAAATGAGCTAATTTCAAATTGTGATTGTAAGTTGATATTATATTTTATCTGCCTCAGGCCCCAACTGAGTGAGATTAGTGACAACAGCATTGGAGAGTTTGAGAGTCCCTCATCTGTGCACCACCACCAACAGCGGCACCATCACCACCAGCAACAACAACAACAGCAGCAATTCTACTACCAGCAGCAGCACCACCACAGGCAGTCACCACACCGCAGGGCCCTGACCCCACAACAAATCATTGGCTCACCCATGCCCCCAGGGGTAAGTTTCTTCATTTCTTTCAGTATTAACTTGTGGCTTTGATGCCTACTACAACTTTAAATTAAGATCCAAGGAAACTTTATTTTTTCTTAAATGAAATTTTTAAAATATACATGGAATTAGTTGAAGAAATTTTTTTCATTAAAAAAACGTACCCTTGATTTTAAGCTAAAATATCCTGGTTTAAAAAAACAGATTTGTAGTTACAAAAAAATGTTAAAATCTTTTATTTTCATTACAAAAATTATTTTTTTATAAAAATATATTTCAATGTACATATAAAACTATTTAACTCTGCAGAGTGGGACCCCACACACACCTGTAAGCTCTCAAGGACAGGGTCACTTCTACCAAGCTCAGGGAGGTCTCTTTGAAGAAGATTCCTCACAGTACATAGAGGATGCTTCGGTAATTTAAATTTTTATTTTATATTCTGACTTTTTTTACCTCCATAATACTGGAGTCATACTAACGCACTAATTGTTTTCAGACTCTTTTTACATTTTTTTTTCTAGACTAGAGTTTTACTAACACCCTCAACATTACTAGAGTCATACTAACACTGTGATTGTTTGCTGACTCTTTAACATTGCTTTTTCTCTAGACTTGACTTGAGTCATGCAATTAGTGATATTTTCCAGATTGTTCTCTGGGTCTCATAAATATTCTTCAACAATTTATTGAAAAATCCCCCCCTCTCTTCTTAAACACCCCCCACTCCCCTCCCCCTTTCCATTATAAGACTACTTATTTAATTTTTGGTACCCTTTCCTTTCAGCCATTTTTTTTTAAATAATAATTTCTTTCATATAAAATTATGCACATTTTATAACATTTAAAATTCTGTTTTTACTTATGTGAGAAGTAAGCCACAATGTAGCTTAATTTTCATCCCACTTTTTCAGTGTCTATCTATTTATTTTTTCCTCCACATTTTTATATCTTTGTTTTCACATCTTTGCTGCTTTCTTATCTTTATAATTCACCTCTGTTATGTTTAGAATTTGAAGAAAAAACATATAGAACTAACTGGTTAAAATGTTTGTTCCTATTGCTGTCAGCACCATCACCGCCACCAACAGCAACAACAACAACAACATCAAATGGTGCATACACCATATGTGAGTTTGATGTTTGGTGTTGTAACTATGTTATCCCCCTTGTCTTTCTATTATAGGCTTCTCTATTCAAATTTTGTACCTCACAGAAACTTACATAACATTAACTTGTATAACATTATAATTACATTTTATAGTTGTAATGACCCTTCTGCAGAAAAAAAAAATTGTATTTATAAGTACTCTTTTATTTTTACAAAAGTTTTTGACATAAATAAAGATGTTTTAAAAAAAAAAATAATTTTGGAATGTAGTTTTTAAAAAGAAATTCCAAAACCAGCTTAATATCCTGTCCATCTTTTCACTGTTTTATTATTGCTTTAACATATCACGTATTTATCACCCATACATTGGATTACACATTACTAAATTTGATTTACATGTCACTATCAGGAAATTTGTATTTTAATTCTAGGCGGGGGGGGAGGGGGGGTTTGGGTGTTTTTTTTTGTTTTTTTATTTTTAAATATTTTTTTTTATATCCAAATTAAGTTAGCCTAGTTGTTTTTTTGTAAGTGTAAAGTTTATGATTTAGATCTATTAACAGTAGATGTCATCCCATTCACAGTGGCTTTCTGATAGGGTTGTTATTGCTGGTATGGTTGTTAATGTTTTTTCTTACCACCCTATATTGTTGTCATTGCTTCCCACATAGCCCTGTTGAAAAAATGAATGTTAGATAACTGATAATAACTCATTAATACTAGTACATCTATCACAATAAGTCAATGACTTTAAAAGAGTGATTTGTTGAACTGTACTATTTCATTGGAATTGTGTCCACATGTTCTCTTTTCAATGGAATCTAAAGTAGAGAAATTATGTTGTATCAACTAAGCTTGAGTTTGTGGGATTAGATGTATTGTTATGTTAGAGATGTGGGCTTCAGGCCAAATTGTCACATGATTTTTGTATGTCTGTGCTGTTTTGTGTACAAGTTTGGTGACTAAAGATGTGTATGTTAAAACAAAATCCATCTTATAATTGATAGACTCTTCTTCTTAGTATTTATAGCAACCACTTTATATAACAGACAGGAGCATCAATTCAATTTAGCTTCTTTACAGATAGTACTAAAAGACTTGATCAAAATGTACTTGGAAACTTGTTATTTTATCTAGACAAAAATTGTTGGGTTGAAGGATGGGATAAGATTTGGAGAAATCTTTAATTCTTTTTGAAAGTAGAAATTTGAAACAAAAAAATGTGTTTATCATTGTTTATTAATGCAAAATAATTTTTAGATTTGTTATAGAAAAATGTATTATTGGTGGTTGGGGGTAGAGATTTTTGAAGGATACTAGGGAGTATTAATTTAAAACACAGCAGATTAACAATGTTTTGCTTTAGTAATGTCTTAGTTAAAGCTCTATTAGGTAGTTAATATTGCTAATATGAGGGTTTTTTTCTTTAGTGAATCATTCATGAGCTTAAAATTTTTTTTTTCTATAGTCTGACATGAGCAGTCATCAAGGCTACTGAATGCAAGGGAGGCAACCTATTAGTACAAGGGAGGCAACCCATTAGCCTACAGCCAGGAGAGAGAAATTGTACAGATTAAATGGTTTATTTTAGAGTAAAGGCAAATAGCTTTAAGTAATGAATACATCTAATTTTGTACTAAAATTATTAAACTTTCTAGTCAAGTGTAGTGATTTTTTTTTACTGTAATAAATAAATATTAATTTTAAAAATGTACTTTTATAAATGTATATGTTTGAATAAAATTTATTTAATAGTTATTTATTTTATTTGTATAAGCAATTTTTTGTTAGACTTTATCTTTAAAAAAATTAATGTTCAGAAATTGTACCTAAAATTGTTGTCTATAATGATATTAAATGTTTAGGTGTGCTTTGTTGTTGTGTTAACAGTTAAATTATAGCATGTGTGTGTATATGTGTATATATAAGCTTTGTTGTATGAACTCATTTTTGATTTGCCACTTGTAATTTTCAATATCTTTGTCTAAGACTTACATACCTGTTTGGTCAGTGACATCACATGATGTGATGTTATGATGTATTTGGTCTGTATTTACCTGTGGTTGGTTTAATCAATGACAGTATATTATGTGGTGTAATGAAGCAACAAATGAGTAATTACATGTGTATTTGTTGTAGGTATAGCTGAGGTTTAAACTACATCACATACAATTATAATTTACAGACATTATCCTCTGTTTTTGTAAGTAGTGTTTGGGTTTTGATTACCTTCAGTTATTTACTGAAATCAAAGCTTAATTTTTGTTGATGATTTCAGTGTTTAACTACAACCACGAAGTAAGAAAACATCAAATACTCCATGAGCTAGTTTCTAAACTGTAGAATTCCCAAAACATAGAAGACGGAAAAAATGTCTTTTTTTTTTGTCTAAACGTTCTGACTTTTTAAATGAAAAGCTTTTAATGGTTTTAAAAAAACTAAACAAAAAACCCCAAACAAATGAGTGCATTAATTAAAAAAATAAATAATTAGAAGCCATTAAAAAAATCAATATCCTTAATCCCTTTCCATTTATTTTTTTCCTTTAACTAAAAATTACTGAGGTCCCAAATAACAATGCTACAGGTCACATGTGTTTCATACTACATCACATAGTACGTCACATAATGTTATAAAACATTTCATACATATGTTAGCTATTTATTCATGTAGACTCGACTGTTTGATTATACTTTTATAACTAAGCATTTATGCCGTAGTGGATGTTTTTTGTTTAATGTTAATTGTAAAAGCTGTTTCATACATACGAGTTATTATAATTCTTTAAAAATTGTGTACATAGTTTTTAACTTACACAGATATGATGTTTTGTTGTAATATTTCTAGTTTCATGTTATCTTTTATCATTGTATTTACTGAGGGTTTTTATTTTAGCTTTAAATTAAAAAAAAATAAAAGGATGTTGTTTTGTTGTGTTGTAGTTTCTATTTTATTATTTAATTAAATCTTCAGGGACTTTTTCTGTATAGGTGTGTGCAGGGTGTGTGTTGTTTACTGATGTAGTTGGGGGAAGGGGAGGCTATTGATTAATGATGATGGAAGGGGGGGAAGGATATGAATTATGATGTAGACATAGGTGCTGAATTGATGATGAATGTGCAGGATTGTGAATGTGCTAACTTAAGTGTCAGGGGTTGTGGAGGTGCTGGGTTGAGGGGTAGGGTTATAGAGGGTTCCTGTGAGGTGGTGTAAGAATAATACCACACCGACATCACATTTATTAGTTCTTTATGAGTGTTGTCTGTGTAGCAGTAAATGTACTAGGAAAGATGCATGAACTAAGCTCAGTGAAAAAGTCCTGCAATCAATAGCATACAGCCACACACATACAAGTCAAATATGACATTTTTTCCTTTGCAAACGGAAGAGATGCCTACAGTGTTTTTTCCAGACTTTTTTTCTCCGGTGGGGGGGGGGGGCTCGGAAGTACCTGAGTTTTTTATTTTCATGGTTGATTTTTAGAGAATTATCTGGATCCAGTGTTAAACAGATCCATCTGCAGGCGATCTTTTCATGATGGTGCATTTCGGAGTGTTCAAACAGGTCTTCGTGTAGTTGGAATCTAACTTCGCAGTACCAGATTTTATTGATTGCGATATCCAGGTGTAGCTTTCGAACTTGGTTTCACACACTGTGCAGGTGCCTTCTGTGCCGTGTTCTGATTGTGTGTTTCTTCGTCGTTGTTGAAAGAGAGTCGGCAATATCCACACTACCCTCCTTTGAGGCGTAGCGGGGGGCGGGGGTGACACCATATAGGGGGGTGACACCAAGGCAAAAAAAAGCATATACTACACATAAATGTTTTGGTAGAGCTGAAATAAATTTGGGATTACAGAGAATTAAAATGATACAAATTGTAAGCAATCGGAAAAGTTATGTTATTACAATGAGACACATCAAAGCAAACATTCTTCCCTTTCAAACATCTATATCTATACAGTCCTCAAACAGTTTTTTTTTAAATTTATTTATTTAATTGTTTTAAACATTTAAATCAGTAATAATAATTTATTTGATAGATTTTACACAGCATCAAAAGACATGAACATCAATTGCATATATAATAATCAAAGGGAGAAAATAAAATGGCATAAGAACTAGACTAAAATAAGGTGTGCAAACTGGGTTTCTCTTGACAGTTTAGTTTACTGTGCTTCGTCCTTAACTGCAGAGTTAAGGATGGAGTCAAAGGCTCAGATTGTAGCCCCCCCATGGACAGAAATAGAAACACTATTATGGCATTTGATTAGGTTAGGACAGGGGTCGGCAACCTTTTGAAGCGGAAGAGCCAAAAGTTACAATTTTCAAAATTTCCCTGGTTTTAAAGAGCCACTAACATTTTTTTTATTTCAAATATTTTATTTTTTTATTAAGATTATTAGTATTTGTTCAAGGAGCTGGAGAGCCGCATCTTGATATCAAAAGAGCCGCATGCGGCTCGCGAGCCGCAGGTTGCCGACCCCTGGGTTAGGAAGACAACAGAATCTTTGGAAATTGCAGCACACACTAAGAGTAAACTTCTTATTTCAAGAGTTAAATGTTTAAGAAAGTTAATACGTATCTATCTAAGTTAGATGTATTTTAAAAACATTTTTCTGTAAATTTTAAAAACTGATAAAATGTCTTAACATATGTAATTTATGATGTAATTATAAACAACGATCTACATTAAAAAAAAATTTAATACTATATTGAATTGTAATTTAACGACTTTTAGCTAAACACACCTTGATTGTATCCCTTGAATCTTTTGATTATATATAAATGGGAAGTAATACACGCTTAGATTTCAATCTAAAACATTGTTGCTATACAGTATTAATAAATATTACGGTTGTATGCAATTGTATATACTTACTTCTACATCTGTATATTTTTATATGATACCTTGTTATTAATTTTTTCCGCCTCTTCTAACTCTATTTTGCGAACATTATAGTTTGCGAACCACAAATCTAATGCAACATTTTAACACGATTTTATTTAAATTCTGTAATTACTGTATACATTTGTTTGCAGTGTATAGTTCATTGATATACATAATGATTATTTATTAAGGCTTTTTTCACATTACTTTATAAATCTGATTTTTTTTATCCTTGCACGTAAATCATCGGTCGTCTCTTTGCTGTCTCCTAATTGGGCCACCCACAAACAAGGGGAGATAATATCCCAGCCGCCAATTAACATCAGCATCAAACGCTGGTTGATATAATCCAGGGTATCACGACTGTCCTCATAAATCATCTTTATTATGATTACAATGGATGGGAACAATAGCAATCGTTATTTCAAATAATTGTTGTTTTACTTTATGAATGGGAGATTTCTGCACTTACGATTAGGAATATAGAACAAATTATTTTATTAATTTAATTATATATATATACATATATATATATATATATATATATATATATATATATATATATATATATATATATATATATATATATATATATATATAAGTGTGCATGAAAGTATATATTACGTAATTTTTCGGAGTTCTATTTTCGCTTCCTTGCTGATGTGTTTTTTTTTGCCCAAGGGGGTCGTCCATAAAATGACGTCACACTCGAAGGGGGGGAGGGTGGACCGTAATTTTGTGACGGTGTGCGATGAGGGGGGGGGGGGGGATCAGATGGTGTTACGTCGCACTTTTGCATTATAAAAAAGCAATGTTAGAAAACGAATTTTAGACGTTATTTCGCATTTTAGAAAACTGTTTTGATGAATTGTAATAGGAATCTATTAAAATACTCTATTTTGACAGAGTTCAGACACGATTTTGGAAAAATATCGACGTTTTAAAGAAAAATTCAACTGCAATTTTGAAGGGGGTTGTAAGCTGAGGTGTGACGTCATTTTAGGGGGGGGGGGGTCTGGATTTTTGTGACGATGTGTGACGGAGGGGAGGGGGAGGTAAAAATCGTCAAAAAAGCGTGACGTCATTTATTTATGACCCCCCAAGGATTTCTCTTGTATTGGGTACATTTTATTTAATATACCCGTTTACTGAATTCTCTTACCAATAACGTAAGTAAATTCCAGCCTTTAAAGTATACAAAGTGTAAACGTAGATTTCATTAAAGCACGGAGTAGAGCTTCCCAGTGGCGTAGCGAGGTCGGGTGTCACCCGGTGCGGCACTTAATGGTGTCACCCCTAAGAGGCGTAGCGACCCTTCCCGGAGACAAACTTTCAAATTTTCGATTTGCACCCCCCTCAAACTTTCGATTTGCACCCCCCCCCCCAATCAAACTTTCGATTTGCACCCCTCCCCCCCCCCCTCAAGTTTTTCTCTATATATTTTGCTATTTTTTGCCTTGGTGTCACCCCCCTAAATGGTGTCACCCGGTGCGGTCCGCCACCCCCCCCCCCTCGCTACGCCTCTGGAGCTTCCGACGGTTGTCCCTGTAGTCTCGGGTTCGAGTCCTGTACTCGAGTATGTAGGACTTCCCCTGAGTCACCCGCTGTGATGGGTACCTGATTCATGTTAGAGACATAAAGACGGCTGGGCATAGAGCTATCCCACAGCATAATTTTGAAGAACGTTCGTAAATTGATTGGAAAGGGGGTAAGGGGAGGATGCTATGTTTTTTTTTCTTTCTTCTTCTTCTTCTTCGTTCTTAATTGTTTGCAATGTTGGACGGTATCTTCTCAAAACACAAACAATAATTTCTTGTCAATAATTTATGCGTCATATAGACCGATGACTCAGATTTCAGATTGCTTTTCTTTTTGGATTTGCTTCCATAGCCTTTGTCCAACCAAGAACAAACTACAAGGCAAAGGTTGTTTGATTTTGGAGTTAACTTTGACGAACCTTATCTGCTCATGGGTTCGAATTCAAATCTCTTCGATTGAGAGAGTCATGAGCTTTACCAACCCGACCACGCCGACCACTTGCACTTTTATAATCTTTGATATTCGGAAAGAAAAATTAACTACAGTTTCATCATGTGTGTGAACTAGATCTATTTCTCGTTTAAAGAATAATTAGAATTACTGTTCGGACGCATCTAATTTAGCTTTGAATTTGCCAACATGGCAACTCTGTAGAAGTTGAGCGAACTGTATTCCATCATAGCTTCCATACATTCATAAAACTATTGATCGCAGTGTCACGTGACGTGTTTGTTGGCAGTCCATCATTCTCCCAACTCAGAATAAAACAAACGCCACAAAGCGAGCAGTTCGTAAGTCTTACTTCTACTATTGTGCTTTTCCTATACCAGTTTTGTAGTTTTTTCGCTTTATTTTAAAACTATTAATAAAGCAAGTTTTTAATTATTATTTTAAAATTAAGATTTTTAGTAATAACTTATTTGTAATTGATCATAAATTCACAGATAACAAAGTTTCGTTTAGTTTAAATAATCTTTTGTGTAAGTAAAGTTCCTTTTCTAACCTGATGGTCCACGGTGAAAGTGAAGTAGAGTTCACCTGTTTATTTGACTTCGGCACATGAACGGATAGTTCGATAGTACTATGCCCAGCTGCCTTTACTTTCTTAACGTGAACATTAAAGTGGACTCAGGCAGAGGCGTATCGATGGGGGGGGGGGGGGGAGGCGGGTGTGTACATATGTCATTTTAGCTTCAGTTTTGAATTATAAACATAAAAAATATATGGGAGGGGGGCAAATTGAAAGTTTTTTCCCGGGCGCCGGAAGTGGACTCAGGGAATTTCTTACTTCTAACACACTTGAACCCTAATTAGAACTGGAGACAGTGTCTTATGAATCTTTTATGAATAAAATTTAAAAAATCGTAGATCACGTGCATCAACCTTTCCTATTGGTACCCAGGACACATGCGGCTGTCATACAAAGCTCACTCCACTTCCGCCGATCTCT